GGGTGGGGTACGGGAGGGGTACAGGTGGGGTGCGGGTGGGGACAAAGCAAACAAAACATTTTTATCCTTTTCCATTTCCCCATTAACTAAAGCATTTCTAGTCATCTGTGGAGAAATGAGACATTGCCACCTGAGGAAATGGACATTTCTCCCTCTGCAACTGTTCTCCTCTTTTCAAAGAGAACAAAGCATTTTATAAAGTCCCTGAAGAGCTTGAGACCATTCCCTCAGCCACAAGAGAGCAATGGGGAATTTTAAGGCAAGAAAGATTAAAATCACACTTATGCCCCAGAAGGCCCTTTTTAACAGGGAACAACACAGGTCAGTTACAGTCTCTACCACAACAGCCCAGAGGGCAACGAGAAAGTCAACCAGGATGATGGAAAGAAAGGACGGAGCATGAAAAGGGGAAGAAATGATAAGGTATGGGTCAGCAAGATGGCCCAGCAGGAAGGGTTGCCGCCAAGTCTGACAGCCTGAGTTCAAACCCCAGAACCCATGGTAGAGTGAGGACAGACTTCTGCACTGTCCTCTGGCCCCTCCCCCACATAACACCAACCCCAGCACCAAAGAAAGTCAATCAAAGAAACTGGGTTTTTAAATCCACCGCAGACTTTTTACTACTGAATCAATGAAGTGGTTATAGCATCAATTCCCATTATTCATGGTAGATATGTGAAGAACCATCCTTCCTCCATCTTCGGCTTGAAAGACATAGTAAAGACAAACTAGGCTCCTTCCTACTCATGATTAAACCTCTGTTTCTTGTGGTGATATACTGTGTACCCTAATAAACTTATCTGGAGATCAGAGGACAGAGCCAGCCACTAAATTAGACATAGAGGTCAGACAGTGGTGGCACAAACCCTTAATCCTATCACTTGGGAGGCAGATCTGGATCTCTGTGAGTTCAAGGCCACACTGGGAACAGTCAGGCAGTGGTGGTACAAACCTTTAATCCCTGGAAGTGACATGGCTGGGTGAAGAACAGTATGTAAGGTGTGAGGAGAAAGAAATTTAGCAGCAGTTCAACTGAGACCCTCAGGGTTGAGAACTCAGAGGCTTTCAGTCTGAGGATTCATGGAAACAGGATCGGCTCAGGAGTTGGCGAGGTGAGGTTGGCTGTGGCTTGATCTGTTTCTCTGATCTTTCAGCTTTCACCCCAATATCAGACTCTGGGTTTTTTTTAAATAAGACTGTTTAGCAATTCATGTTACATTTCTCAAGGACTGGGCTATGTCCACCTGTAACCTGAACTACACATGGTTCTGTACTGCCTGTTCCAGGAATGGCAACCACGTCTTTGTTTCAAAACATTAACAACCATCTTGTAACCCTACCTTTGTTTCAAAAGGGTTGTTATGACTACCTGCTGTTATGACTACTTTGCTGTGACTACCTGTTGTTAAGACCACCTTACAATCATGCCCTTTTTTTCCAGGAGATTGTTACTACTGACTTGTTATACTCATGTTCTGCGCCTGTAATCCCCCTATTTTGCCTGACAAATCCCCCATTTGGAAACCTCTTACCACTGAACTATAAAAACCATGTCAGCTGGGGGTGGTGGTGATGTGCACTTTTAATCCCAGCACTTGGAAGGCAGAGACAGGTGCATCTCTTCGAGTTTTAGGCCAGCCTGGTCTACAAAGCAAGCTCCAGGAGAGCCAGGATTGTTACACAGACAAACCCTGTCTTGAAAAACCAAAAAATAACAAAAAATTAGTTTCAAAGTACAATGACCAAGCAATTCTGAGCAAATTGCCATATGTGGTATCAAGTGATAATACAGAGCCATAACAGGACCAGTAGGATACTGGCCCTGGGACAGAACAAGGCTGTAGATCCACTGAAGAGCAAAGACACAGGTGCAAACCTTTACACAGCTACGGCCACCTGATTTTTAACAAAGAGGCCAAAACTCTCTTGAGAAAAGATAGTCTCTTCACTCAGCAGTTGTGGGGAACAGGTAAACCACATGAAGAATGAAAGCAGATCCCCATCTAACACCCTCCACACCAGTCAAATCCAAATGGATGAAAGACCTTAAAACAAGACTAATCTGCTGGAGAAAAAAGGAAGGAGAACACGTCAAGATACAGGCATAGGTAAGGACTTTCTGAGCAGGACTCTAGCTGCTAATGAAATAAGGCCAACAATCAATTCTATAAAAATAAAAATACCAAAGGAAAAGGCACAGAATGGAGAAAATCTGGCCAGCTTTACACTTGAGAGGCGATATGGAATATACAACAATGCAAAAAGTTCAACAAGACAGCAAATAAGTCAGAGAAAATGGGCTAAGGAAATAAACAGAAATATAAATGTCCAACAACGTTTTATTTTATGTTTGTTTTTTGTTTTTTGAGACAAGATTTCTGTGTGGCTTTGGAACCTGTCCTGGAACTTGCTCTGTAGACTAGGCTGGCTTCTAACTCACAGAGATCCGCCTGCCTCTGCTTCCCAAGTGCTGGGATTAAAGGCATGTGCCACCATCACACGGCTTATTTTATTTTTCCAGAGAGGGTTTATTTGAGTTGCCTTGGCTGTTCTGAAACTTGCTTTACAGACCAAGCTGGCCTCAAACTCAATGGTCTGCCTGCCTCTGCCTCCCAACTGCTGGGATTAAAGGCGTGTGCCTCTACCACCGGTCCATTTTTTTTTTTTTTAATTACAAAGTTCGAATATTTTTTAAGAAACATTTTAATGTTTATTTTATGTGTATGTGTGTTTTGCCTGCATGCATGTCTAAGTACCACATGTGTGCCTAGTGCCCCCTAGTCCAGAAGGCGGCATGTCTTGCAATTAGTTATAGATAGCTGTAAGCCACCATGTGGGTGCTGAGAACTGAAACTGATTTCTTGGGAAGAACAGCCACTGCTCCTATCCACTGAGTCATCTCTCTCGCTCCAATATTTTTTATTTTTAATTAAAATATATCATTTCCCCTTCTCTCCTCCAATTCTTCCCATAGCCTGCCCCCAACTTCATGGCCTTTTTTTCTTTGTTTTAGGTACATAACACAGACACACATATATGAATAAATATATAAATACAAACCTACTGATTCTGTTTAATGTGGCATGATTTTAGGGCCAATCACTCGCTACTGGATAATCACTTGGTACTTTCTGGGAAAGACTTATTCTCCCTCCCTCAACAGTCACTAATTGCCTAGACCTCTTCATCTAGAGGTGGAGCCCCGTCAGAGTTTCCCCCATCCAAGTTGGCATGTCAGTTGGTGCTGTAATTGTCCAGGTCTGATTAAGGCAGCAACATTGAGATGTCCCGGGTGTAATGTCCTTATCATGTAAAAGACGCACTGTTACAGCGGACTCCCTGGTCTTCTGTTCTTACACTCTTTCCTACTCTTCACATGTTCTCTGTGACTCGGATGTAGGGTTTTATGTTATAACAGTTCAAATCTTTACTTGAAAGACTGGTTTTAACTATATATGTGTGTGTCTGTGTGTGGGTACGTGAATGTGAGTGAAGGGGCCTGTGGAGGCCAGAAGCATCAGATCCCCTGGAGCTGGGGTTATTAGTGGCTGTAAGGCACCTGCTGATGAGGGTTGGGAACTCAACCCAGTTCTTCCCAAGAGCAGAAACCATTGAGCCAGCCAGCCAGCCAGCCCCAGGCCAATGATAGATCCCGTCTCACTCCAGTCGGCATGACTGTCAACAAGAACACCAGTGGTAAAAGGCTAGGAGGGAGGGGGAGGAGCCCGTATTTGCTGATGGGAATATAAATTAGTGCAAATAATACAGAAATTAGTGTTGGGCATTTCTCAAAAAACCAAAACTTGTTTGTTTTGACCTCATGGCCTAGCTATCCCTCTCCTATGCATATGCCCAGAGGACTCTAGATCCAACCACAGAGATGCCTGCACGTCTGTTCATATGCTGCTCTATCCACAACAGCAACAAAGTAGAATCAGCCTAGACGGCCATCAACTTATCAACTGATGGATGATGAAAACGGGATAGACACAATGGAATTTTATTCAGCTGAAACAGCCCCTACACACATTAAAACTACTGTATTATTTCACCAAGTGAAACAGGTAAATTCACGGATACAAAGTAGAAGCGGAGCTAGGAGTAGGGAGGATGGGAAAGGCCGAGCTAACTAGGGCTTCAGGATTTATTTAGGGGTGATGAAAATGCTGTGAAACTCGATAATGCTAGGGGTTGCACAACCCCGAAAACATACTAGTAACCACAGAACTGTACACCTCCAAGGGCTGAATTTAGTGTACTCACGCACGCCTCGTTTTTCAAAGTCCAGAAAGACTGACTGACTATGCGGCCACCCCCAACGTCAAATTCCTCAAGTCCATCGGTTCTTCCCAACTCCACCCACTCCCTCCAGCTTCACCCAGTCACCGACAGTTACCGCGAGTGGGGCGCGGTGCAGAGCACCCCACCACCTCCAGGGCTGCCCTCCCCGGCACGCGATCAGCGACCGGGACCCGGCGCCTCCCCAGGTGAGACGCCCCCACGGAAGGCATGCGCAGCAGCCACCCGAGGAATTCCGGTCCGCGACCCCGCCGACCCACTCACGCGCCTCGGAACGCGGTGCACGCAGGAGCTCGGTCCCACTACCGGGCAGCCGAAGGGGGCCTCGCAGAAGAGACGGAGGCGCAAGCTCAGGCCACGCCGGGAAGGAGGCCCGCACCCAAGGCAAAAGAGGAGGAGCCGTAAGTCAAGTCAGAAGGCGACCCGGC